TGGAACATTTTTCTTCTATAAAGATTATTGTACCATGATTTGTTTGGCACACAGTCTGTCCTCAGACAAGTGTGAAATATATATATATATAACCCGCTTCCGTTTATTTCTCTCATAGAGTTGGAGAGAAAAGCACGGAGCACATAAACTTGAATTGTTTGCATAATGCGCGCGCCGTATATCCGTCCGCATTGCGTGCATGATATTGATACAGGTTGAATAATAGAGAGGGAATGTCGAAGCAGTACGGGGAATCGAAACAAACGGCCGATATGATTAGTAGAGTTCGCTGATTAGGAGACATGTTGCGCACGCCCAGCCACCGTCTGTCGCACCGCGCCTTATTCGCAGTTGCGGCTCCCGGTTGGAAGAAACCACGTGGAGGTCAACAGATGACTTGGAGACGAGGCATGAAGAAATGCTCAGACCCATTAGCGAGAATAGGTGTCTCCCGTCTTCCAGGTTTGGATCCAAAAGACTGCAATTGGTTGGTTGGAGACGGTTGGAGAAGGATATGACAGCGTCCTTGCTGTCATTTCTTATTAGGTTCGAATGCTTGAAAAGGTATGTATGCACACTTAGATTGTGTACTGTGTGTGTTGATCATAGATATTCACCTTCTTTGCTTTCCTCCAATTAGGCCCAATCCCTGTCCACCTTGTGCCTTATCACTTGATTTATGTACATTGTGAGCTTGGAAGTGATCAGCGAAGTTCGCTTCACTGTATCTCGCTGTACAATGATGATGATTTCACGACCCCGCTGGAACGTGTCCATATTAGAATTGCACGCTGATGCCAGAGGATGCAATATAGTTGTACTGGGGAGACTTTTAGGCACATTTTCGTCCAAACAAAAGATAATTCGATCAAACTGTGGCACCTCGTACATTTGCTATATGTAGTGCCAAAAATAGCTCTGACGTTGCAGGCAGCGTTAGAGGGGGGGGGTGAGTGCAACACGTTTAGTAGCATTCTGGACTCAAAAATCTGGTGAGTAAAAGCCCATTCGCATCAAGATGAATGACTGGTTGATGAATATTCCCCATGGGAGAAAAGCTCCCACCTTCTATTCACTCACCGTTCCGATCGCGTAGAAGATAAATTTGATTGGCTTTTCAAATAAGAGATGATCGTTAACATGATGACGATGGCGGCTATGATGCAACGTGCTCAAACAGATATTTCCATTTTGAGCATTGAAATCAGTTGGTATTGGTTTTTTTCTTTTTTTTGGGGGGGAGGGAGTACGTGCAAGGCGTAGACGTCAGCATGATATCGAGGTAACCGGGTCACCGAAACTAGGGTTGTAAAATCTTAAACGGCTGTCCTCTGATCGTGCTTGATAGCGGCAGAATGCTCTGGACAAAGACGATATATATATATATATATATATGGATTTCGAAAGAGCCAAGTGAAAAACTTTGGCCGATATTCCGATGATTCACACATTTGTGATTGGCCAACAAGGTCCTGGGATGCGGTTCACAGACTTGGGTCGATATTTTCACACGGGTTCCGATATCCGACAGGGTTCACCCACAGTGCAGTAGTGCTCGGCTTTTCAGTTTACGTTTTCTTTGTTTTATATACCTGCGTGTTTTGGACCACATGGTCCACCCAACTTTGGTGGTAGTGGCATATTTATTGTAGTTCGGTTTAATAGCACGTCTAATTCAGCGGAGGTTGACGTGGTTCACTTGAGCAGCAGGTCCTTGTGATTACGAGAAACACTCCGTATGCTGATCATCACACGAGGATGTGTTACCGAAAAAAAGAACACATTGTTCCCCTTGCATTTGGCTCTCATAAGATAGATCTGTGCGGAGAAAAATAGGATACTAGTTTCCTCCATTGCTGACCAATGTCCGCGAATAGAATGCGCGAACACACTAGTATGGGGCGAAAATTATCAAATGCTTAGAAAAATACACAAATCAAGCTATTCTAAGCTTTGAAACCAAGTGATATCTACGGTACATGTGTGGCTATCACTCATTGTCTGATTGTGAACGAAGACAGACAGATTGGTGGATTTCGATTCAATAGACGAACACGTCAATTGTGGCACCGAAATATTCAACCAAATCCGGAGACGGGGGAGGGGGGGAAGATTGGCTGCGTAAAACCACCAACTGCTCAGAAAAAAAAAAACGTGAATAATAACCTCTGTTGGGGAGTTCCATCATCTGGATAACTTCTTTTTGTTTGAGAGAGAGAGAGAGATTACCATGTGTGGATGGGTTTTTAATACCAGAACCGCACACAGACACAGGCAAGCAATTGACTTACGGATAGGAAATCAGCGGAACTGGTTTCCTTGGACACGCATTGACTGAGGGAACACGACTTCGAACCAAGACAAGAGAGACCGGTACGAGGAGCATGGTGCTCGTTCAGCCCGGCCACATACACTTTCCCACTGTCTCGTGAACTTGGGAACGGTGAAGTCCAACGACGTATTCCATGCAACAAACGTCGACTGGAATCAAGCCAATTGGATGAACGTTCGACCTCGTGCAGTCCGAGTGTCTCGGTCAATGTGGGAGCTCGAGAGGACAGAGACAGAGAGTGCTAGACGATATACCACGCGTAATTGAGATGGGGAATAGAGGAGAGAGAGAGAGAGAGATGGAAGGGCATTTTTTATATTTTTTTATTACACATTTGTGTGGTGAACAGCAGACGGGACAAACCCCATAGTCATGAAGACAAGCTGCTCCGTCATGGAAACCGGTAACCTAAGCCCCGGGGACTTGGAGTGGCGAACCACATAAGGCCCCGCCGCTAGGTTAGGCGTGGTATTGGACGACAGCAAAGCTGTCTGCCACCAATTGGTCATCGTTAGCAGCAAACTTGCGCGTGGAAAGCACCAATCCCAGCTACATCACGCAGCAACTGTCCGTACTGGTGCAAGTTGTTCCACCACAAAAAGGTCATTATCGGAAATACAAGCGTGATCGTGGTGGTGGTGCATGGTCCGGGGTTCGAGGTCTATCACCGCCATTGCCATCCAACAACTTTGATGGTAGGCAGCTTTACTATCGTCCGGTTCAATACAACGTCTAACCTAGCAGTGGGACCTTATGCGGTTCACCACTCCAAGTCGCGCGGGGCCGTAGCTCCTTACCTGAAAGTAGACTGTACATTTATATATTCAATAAACAAAAAAGGAAGTAAACAGACAAGGACAAAACATTTCAATTTTGTTTCTGATTCAGGTGAGGCACCATCCACCAGCGAACATCCCTTAATGTCCTAATCAGAAAGGAGCGGTTTCTCCGTCGATAAAATGACGCAAACTAATCAAGGCCAGAGTTATTCAGTTACTTTTCTCTTCTTCTGTCTGCCTGTAAGGGAGATGAACGTGACAGCCACTTTAGGGGCGGCGTCCAATCAATCAAGGAATCGGGTTGAGTTCAAAGTATACGTAGAACGCGATCTACCTCGTGAACACTGTTCAACGGACCAGATTGATGTTACTTGAGCATATCGCATTCGAAGACTGGGGGAGATTAAAATACCATTAGCTGTATGGGTTGAAACCGTTCAACAGAAAACCAGAATGAAGTTACTATTCGAAAAAAGTTGAATCAGGTCTGAGAACTTCGATTGACCTCGCAGTGACTGCCCGTCCGGCACCGTGACTTAGATAGAACAACCCTGATACAGCTACGGGCGATGGGGCTGCTTCATATCAAAGTTAACAATATTAACCACTGAGTTCACCAGAATCAGAGGTGTATGACCAGCAATGACAAAATTTCTTCATGTCTCTCATTGTCTCTAGATCAAAATCAACCATATTAGTTTGTGATGTGAAGTTTCCCTACACAAAAATGATCAGCTTCTTTTTCGATTATATACGTTGTGAAGTAGTTGGCAGAATTACAAATCGCTGAAAATGAATTTATTCGTCAGTCTCGATTGCATGGGGAATTTGGTCGGGTACAGAACAAACGAAACGCGAACTGAAAAACTGTGCAGCACTGGAAAGCTGTTTCAACCTGTTTGTTTCTCATCATCAGTGCAGTAAACAAATCCATCAACGACCAGACCGGGGATCGCGAACCCGGGACCTCACAGGTCGAGAACGCAAGTATACTACCCCCTCAGCTGATCAGACCATTTTCCATTTTGCCATAATACTAAATAGCACAATCCATGTTTGCTAGCTTCTAGATGAGACCCAATAAGGTTGAAACAGCTGTTCAGTGCTATCCAGCATTTCAGTTCACGCTTCATTTGCTCTCTCCGACTTCAATTTTGTTTAAAAGGAGAATAACCGATTGAATCGATAGTGTTACTGATTGTAACAAATATCGAACACCGTCCGGGTGGATAAAATGAAAAGCTCAAAGAAGGTCATAGGCACCGGCTACACCCAGTTCTAATATCATGGACACCTGTGGTGCATGATCGGTTCAAAAGAGAAGTTTTCACGGGAACTCATTCAATAAGCGATACATCATCTGGCTCCAATGGTACTGTTTGCAGAGATCCACAGTGAATAGAGTTCAGGCCACGTTTTCTCTTTCTCTCTCTCACCACTTGTATCACAAAATCTACCGTTTACGGATGGTTCAGGAACCTGAAGACCACTGTTACCACTGTTTGCCTAGGGAGGGGGTTGATCATTTGTCAAAAAGTCGGTGATTTCCGTAATCATTTGTAACGCTGTGTGAAGAAAGGTGGATAGATTGAGGCCAGAGCCAAAAACGATGACATCTGAACGCCCGGATCTCAATCTACTGTGCCACCCAAATAGCAGAGCTGTGTACACGTAGTTCACCTCATTCGAGTAGGCTGAGGAACATCCGATGCAGTGTTCGCACATCTTGTGCGGACGCCACAATCGCTTTCAGCGACGACCACGAGAAGGGGAGTGACGCAATTGAAAATCAGTCAATTTGGGAATAAAAATTATGCAGAATACCTGTAGTCTATCACAAGCTTGTTGTGCGGGTATATATCGATCGTTCAACTAAACCGATATGATCAAGTGAAATTAACTGTGAGCATTTTTTTTATTACACACTTAAGCATGATGAACAGCCGACGGGGCGAACCCCATATTCTCGAAGACCTGCTGCTCAGTGATGGAAACGGGCAACCTAAGCCCCGCGATACTTTGAGTGGCAAACCACATAAGGCCCCGGTAGGTTAAGCGTGGTATTGAACCGGATGACAGCAGAGCTGCCTACCACCAAAGTTGGGTGGCGGTGACTGGGCTCGAACGTTGGATCATAGGACCCAAAGCACGCCGGTAACAGCGACTAAACCACTGCGCCACCACCACCCGATTTATCGAGAATGCCCCAGATGAGGTTGAAACCACGTATGAATCAGACTCCGATCAATGCACAGACAGAAATGGAGAGAGAGAAATGAACGGATGTTCGTGGGACCCCAAATGAAGCATACTCGGGTCTGGTGATCCGTTTGGTGCAGCCATTGTTCATAGGACACAAAGTCAGCCACGGACATTGGGCGTTTGGCACTGCTCGCTTTACGCAAACTCTGACGAGCCATGCGAAC